ATATATATATATGGTATATCGTACATATTACTATTGATAAGTTATGCCAAAAAAAAAAAGAGAGATGGTTACAAGTGTAGTTTGACATAACTGTTGTAAGTGGGGGAGTTCTTATAACAGATATTCTTTTTATTCCTTAACTTGTTCAAGATGTACTAGATATTGTAAATCAATACAATATCAAGTGTATTGTACTTAGAATGCATTGTGTCTTGCCACAGAATCATATCAATTGAAAACAAATAGATTATTATTCTTCAGTGATAAATCAAAATGATTTCAGAATTTCCTCCAAATTAACTCATACACATTCTTTTGCCCTGTGATTATAATTGAGAATCCTGGATCATCTCAAACATGTATAGACATTCGTGATAAACTACAAATGTTTCTCACTTTTGGTGATTGAAAAGGACTATAATAATAATTATTATGGGAGCTCTGGTAGTGCCTAAGGTACTTGACTGCTAACCAGAAGGCTGGCGGTTCAAATCCACCAGCCTTCCTCAGAGGGAAGGTTGGGCAATCTATTTCCGCAGTGATGCTGCCTTAGAAACCCAAGGAGGGGTTGCTATGAGTTGGTTCCCACTCGATGGCACATAAGAGCAACAACAACAATAATAATTATAATACACAGCGTGGCCAGTGGTAGGCAGTTTATTGAAAGGGGACTATGAAGTGGTTTAGATGAAGGGAACTATGAAGTAGTTCTAAACTACTTCACGTTGTTATTGTTGTTGTTGTTATGTGCCATCGAGTCAGACCCAACTCATAGAGACCCCTCCTTGACAGTATCACTAGGGAAGTAGATTGCCCTATCTTCCTTCCGAGGAGTGGCTGGTGGGTTTGAATCACCAGCCTTGTGGTTAGCAGTCAACTGCCTTAGGCACTATGCTACCAGAGCTCCTACTTCATAGTCCCCTTTTAATAAACTGCCTACCGCTGGCCACACTTGAGTATTATAGCCCTTTTCAGTCACCAAAAGTGAGAAACATTTGCAGTTTACCAAGAATATCTATACATGCTTGATGAAGCAGTTAGCAGTAGTTGAATGATATCTTGATGGCAGGAAGAAAAAATATGAACACTTTCCAACTCCAAATTTCTACTATTTTTTTCTTAATATAATTCCTATTTCTTTATTGATATTCCCTACTTGACAATACTTCATTCTGATACACTGTCAGTCATTGTTTTTAAATTACTTACATATGGTTCCTTTCATTATTTGAACTTATTTATTATATATTATACCAAAAATGAAACCAAATGCCCTGCTACCTAGTTGATTTCAACTCATAGCAACCCTATAGCATGGAGTAGAACTGCCCAATAGTGTTTCAAAGGCTGTAAATCTTTATGGAAGCAGGCTGCTTCATTTTCTTCCATGGAGCAGTTAGTGAGTTCTAACTGCTGACCTTTTGGTTAACAGCTCGATGTCTAATCGCTGTATAACCAAAGCTCCTTAAATTATACCCACCAACTGCCATAAAGTCAATTCTGACTCATAATGACTCTGTAAGAAAAAAATAGAACAGCCCGATAGGGTTTCCAAGGCTGGAAATCATTACAGAAGCAGACTGCCTCATCTTTCTCCCACAGTACAGCTGGTGAGTTCACACTGCCAGCCTTTGGTTTAACAGTTCAATGCTGTAACCACAGCACCACCAGATCTCCTCCTTATTATAGGTGACTTAATATCTTTGTTGAGTAAGTGTCCAATATCTTGGCTCCCTCAGGGACAGTTTTTATTCAATTATTTTATTCCCATTTATGGGCTATACCTGGGCAACAGACTAGAAGAGATCCAGAGAAAGATGATCCAACAGAATATGGAAATTATTGAACAGTATCATTAATATCACATGCAAGTAAAATTTTGCTGAAGATAATTAAAAAATGACTGCAGCAGTGTATTGACAGGGAATTTCCAGAAATGCAAGCTGGATTCAGAAGAGGACATGGATCAAGATATCATTGCTGATATTGGATAGATCTTGGCTGAAAGTAAAGAATACCGGAAAGATGGTTACTTTTGTTTTATTCACTGTGCAAAAGCATTTGACTGCATGGATCATGAAAAATTATGGGTAATATTGAAAAGAATGAGAATTTCAGAGCACTTAATTGTGCTGAAGAGGACCTATACATAGGCAAGGAGGCTGTTGTTCAGACATAACAAGTTGATACCGCATGGTTTAAAATCAGGAAGAGTGTGTGTCAGGATTGTATCTTTTCATCATACTCAGTCATTCTGTATGTTGAGCAAATAATCCAGGAAGACAGATTATATGAAGAAGAACATGGTCAGGATTGGAAAAGTATCATTAACAAACTGGATGTGCAGATGACACAGTCTTGCTTGCTGAAATTAAAGCTGACTTGAAGCATTTATTGATGAAGATTAAAGATTACAGTCTGCAGCATGGATTATACCTCAACATAAATAAAATGAAAATCTTCACAACTGTGCCAATAAGCAGGATCATGATAAATGGAGAAAAGATTGTAGTTGTCAAATATTTCTTATTACTTGGATCCACAGTCAATACCCATGGGACACAGTCAAGAAATCAGATGTCATATTGCACTGGAAAAACCCTGCTGGAAAAGACTTCTTTAAAATGTTGAAGTGCAAAGGTGTCACTTTGAACACTAAGGTGTACCTAACCCAAGCCACAGTGTTTTCAATCAATTCATATGCATGTGAGAGCTGGACAATGAATAAGGAAGACTGAAGAAGACTTGATGCTTTTGAGTTGTGGTGTTGGCAAATATTACTGAAAGTAGCATGGACTACTAGGAGAACTAACAGATCTGTCTTGGAAGAAGTGCAGCCAGAATGCTTCTTGGAGGTGAGAATGGCCAGACTTCATCTTTCCTACTTTGGTGATATTGTCAGAAGGGACCATTCTCTGGTGAAAGATATAATGCTTGGTAGAGTGGAGGGCCAGAGAAAAAGGGAAGACCCTAAAAGATGTGGATTGACACAGTGGCTGCAATGATGGGCTCCATTACAGCAAGGATCATGAAGATGTCACAGGACCAGGTAGTGTTTTGTTCTTTTGTACATAGGGTTGCAAAGAGTTAGAGCTGATTCGATAGCACTTAACAGCAACTTGTATGCACTATACTTTCTTCATGTATCTCACATTTTTTTAATGGAAATTTATAATTTTATCAAATGTGGCAACACTAGAAATCAGATCTCACTCAATCCCTACATGTTAGTATTGATTGTTACCAATTCTGTTGTTTTTTCAATGAATTTCCAGAAATAGATTTGTACAGTGTTTTTTCTCGGTCATGTGTGCTCTTTGAAATGTCTGCTCATTAGTTTAGTGGTCAGCTAGTAGTTAATTTCTTAAAAGTTTTAAACTAATTAGACACTCAGCCTTTAGTGAGTTAATCTGTGTACATATTGAGGCAAACCTTCAAACTTCTTTTGAGTTTCTAGCTCTTGGTTAACTTTCACTTGTTCCTTGTGCAAAGCCTCAAACTGAGTAACATATAAAAGATTAGGACCTTCTCACATCTTTCTTAGACATGGGCTTACAGATGTATCACTTTTTAATTCCTCAGGATATAACTGACCTTTTCAAAGTCCTCTATGGAAATCTCATCCTCCAACTTTTACTTTTAAGTCATTCTTTAGTTATTCTTAACTAGATAGACAACCGGTCAGTCCCAGGGTTTCAGGTGAGGAGAGACAACTCAGGGACGCCCAAAGTAGCAAGCGGGAAGAGCAGGAGAAAGGGGATTTAAAAGCCAGGAAGCCAGAGAGAAGAGCAATCAGCCGAAGGGATTAGGTGAGGAGAGGAAACTCAGGCCTGCCCAGAGTAGCAGGCTGGAAGAGCAGAAGAAAGGGGATAAAAGCCAGGAACCTGACAGAAGAGCAGTCAGCCCCAGGGTTACAGGTGAGGAGAGACAACTCAGGGACGCCCAAAGCAGCAGGCCGGAAGAACAGGAGAAAGGGGATTAAAAGCCTGGAAGTCAGAGAGAAGAGCAATCAGCCAAAGGGATTAGGTGAGGAGAGGAAACTCAGGCCTGCCCAAAGCATCAGGACCGGAGAGCAGGAGAAAGGGGATAAAAGCCAG